TTTACACTCATTTTTCACGTTTTCAAAAGAAACGAAAAAGATTTTAAATTTGTAACAAAGTCTATTCACCCCCCCTCTAGACTTTGTATCTCACCACTTTGGGACCACCAATTGGTATCGGAGCAAACTTCTCACTATCTACGTTTAGATTAACGAGAAGCGATCAAAATGGTGAACAATATGGATCACGTTTTGCCCAAGTTTTCTCTCCTAGGTTATGATGATTGGAAGATCATGATGGAAGCACATCTCTATGCTCTACACGATTGCATGTGGATGGTGCTTGAGGATGGACCCTTGAAAATCCAAATGGAGAATCCTGAGAGGAATCCAGCAACTCCAGACGTAGTCCAGTACATTCCAAAGCCTAAGGAAAAATGGGATGATAGAGATCGCAAAAAGCATAATCTGGACAACGTCGCCAAAGCAGCCATCTTCAAGACACTTGATCCCATCACCTTCTCCAAAATCAAGCATCTCAAGACTGCCATGGAGATATGGCAAGGCCTTGGGAAGCTATGTGAGGGATCAAGTGTATCTCACCACTTTGGGACCACCATAATGAATAACTAGTCGGGTCCACATTGTCGCTCATCACCCAGTCGTCCGGGTCAGGCTCCATGATCCTCTGACCTACCTGCGTATAGCAAAGGGAAACAACGTTATACGCTCAGCAAAAGTTGAGTGGTAATCTAACAGTAGAACACTTAGTATATTCACATTGATATAAACATAATCGTACTGGTACTAAAGTACGAGATACCACATACAAGTTTGATGAATAATAGGTTGCGAATAAACAATGATGCAATGCCAAATAATCATGATGCATGAGTTAGACTGCGCAAGGACCCCCTGCCCTCGAAGATCATCCCCACGCGGTAGATAAGCCTAGGAGTGCCTTAGTCATCCTGATGGAGACTAGAATATGGGTGATAGCTAAGCCTAGCTACCATGTACGTACACTAGCCCTCGTGATGAAAACTCGTTGGATCCTGTAGGTTCCTGGACGGGCCCACGGAAGAGGCGCACTAGGCCTGACCTCTTGCCGTGGTATGCAACATATGCCATGATTCTAAACATGCGTCTAGGATACACATGATGGTATGAATGCATTGATTGGAGAAAATGAAGTTATGTTCAACGCATACAAACATATTTCATTCCATATGAAAACAACTTGTTCAACATGGCGGACCTGGGTTCAGAACTGGCTGATAATTGATTAAACACTGTTGATAATCGATTATCATGTAGTGCAGTTCATTTTCCCAAGTTCCACAGGCCATGATAGTCGATTGTCACCTCATGACAATCGATTGTCAAGGTATTCTGTTCAAGACACCCAAGTTTAGAGAGGCCTGATAATCGATTATAGCTATGTGATAATCGATTATCAGTAGAACCAGCCAAGACTTGAGAATCCGCAGGGCCTGATAATCGATTATAGCTCTGTGATAATCAATTGTCACACTGTGATGATTCTAATGAGAAGTTCAGCACAGCCTGGTAATCGATTATCCAACTCTGTAAATTGATTATCATGGCTCGTAGCTCCACGTTTAACCAGTTTGAATAGAGTCTTTACGTTGGGAGTTATCGGGATGAATGTTATTGTTTTCCCTTTGAATAAGCTATGAAATTATGAATTACCAAACGTTTATATTAATAGGGTTATAAACGAAAAGTCTAGATAACGGATAACCCTGATAATGCGGATACACGTATCTTTAGCCGGGTAGTCCTATGAATATAACGATATGTTTATACTACGAATTCTAAAGTTAGAGGGCAACGTACACACCTCTAAACGAAGGGATTGAGGATACGGAAACGGATGAATGAACGGCTAACGAACGGATGGTGATGGACAATGAACGGATGAACCTCTTGCATGCATGATCTTCCTTCTCTTCTACCTCCAGTCTTCCCCCGCCGAAATCCACTCTGTGCCTGCTTGTTGCCCTGGCCGAACAGAGAAAAGGGAGAGGGAGAGAGTGTTGAGAGCTTGGGGGTTACAAAGGTGAGGGGGGGGGGGGAATGAATGGGGAGAGTGGAGTTTTAAATTAAGAAATGAATGGGGGAATTATGGAGAATTAAGGGGAGGATTAAATGAGAATGATGGTGATGAGTTGTGGCATGTGAGTTGGTGCTGGGAGTTACATCCCTAAATTTTGTTCCGTTGTGTAAAATCTTACTTGAACGGTATACGGTATTTCCCCCGAACGGGTCCGAATTGAAATCCATTTGCGTTTCTGGAATCAGACAGACGGAACGAATATTATGACGTAATTGAATAATTCTTCTAAGGATTTTATTTTTCCCAATCCCGGTCTAGGTTTGTAATTAATTAATTAAATTAATCAATTCTAATAGACCGAGTCATAGGGCGTTACACCATAAGTTTGAGTATATCCTTTAGCTACTAATCTAGCCTTATATCTCTCGATTGTACCATCTGCTTTGTGTTTGACTGTAAATATCCATCGGAATCCGACTGGTTTCTTTCCTGGAAAGAGTTGACATTTCTCCCATGTGTTGTTTTTCTCTAGTGCCTTCATCTCCTCCTCCATTGTTTTTCTCCATTCTGGTATTTGTAAGGCTTCGTCTACTGTTCTATGGACTTCATGGCTGGATGTGTGAAGAGCCCGTGATACACTCCCCCTGACTAAATCAGCAACATGATATCTTGAGTTTTGAGGGTTGTATTCTGGTTCATATCTTACTGGAGGAATTCCCCAATTCTTCCGTGGTGGGAGAACATATCTATTTGATATATTCAATTCTTCCACGGTATCATTAGATTTATCAATGCAATCATTAGAAGTGGGAGAAATATTAACCTCGGGAGTCTTTTTAGACGGAGTAGAATCGGACATGAGTTTTGAGTTGTTGGACTGTACAATGTTCTCAAAAGATGATCCCACAAAGCGACTTACTTCCTCAGTTGGAACAGTTTCAGGTGGCAAGACTGGGCTGTGTAACCACTCTAGAGAGTCATTCATAACTTTCTCCCCCTGACTACTAGAGTGGTTTTGGAAATAATACTCAGTTTCCAAAAAAATTACAATCCATTGTCGTGTACATCCGTCTAGGATCATAACATCTATATCCCTTTTTGTGAACCCCATACCCAACAAAGACACATCAGATAGCACAAGGATCAATTTTTGACCGTTTGGCTTTTGGAATATGTACATATATAGTGCAACCAAACACACGAGGAGTGAGAGTCAAGGAGGTAGGAACAGTGGAAAATCTCGCAAGTGGAAGACGATTTATGAGGTAAATGGTGGTTGCAATTGCTTCGGGCCAGTAATAAATCGGAACATTGGACTCAACCATAAGAGGTGATTTCGAGTATGATCCGATTCTTACGTTCAGCAACGCCATTTTGTTGAGGGGTATCAAGACAAGTAGTGGTTTGATGGATAAGACCTTTTTCCTTACAGAAATTTTCCATGGGATGATTTATGTATTCTTCTCCATTATCAGATCGAAGAATACAAATCTGTTTTTGGTATTGTGTGTGGATTAATTTGTAGAATGAGGTGAACTTTTCAAAAGCTTCAGATTTGTGTTTAAGAAAGTACACTCAGGTCATACGGATACAGTCATCAACAAACAATAAAAAATATTGATACCCATTTGGACTCGGTTCTAGAGATGGACCCCACACATCAGAATAGATTAATGAGAAAGGTTGTGATGCAAGTATGTTATTTAATGGATATGAATGTTTATGACTTTTGGCTAGAATACAACTGTTGCAATGAAACTGACATGATTTATTGAATAAATTTGGAAAGAGAATTTTGAGATACCTCCAAGATGGATGTCCAAACAACGATGCCACAGCCATGCCTGCCTGGCCACTGTCCCATGAGCAAGTGTAGCTGTTCCGTAGTGATCAACTTCATTAACATAGTACAAGCCATGACACTCAGAATCACGCCCTATGATCTTCCCCGTCTGAATATCCTGTAATAAGCAAAAAGTGGGGTGTATTATGACTGTGCAATTTAATTGTTTTGTGACATGGCTTATTGACAGCAATTTATGAGATAGTGTGGGAACATATAAGAAGTTATCAAGACGGATAGATGAAGAGATAGATATTGGACCAGTGCCCTCGACACAAGAATAATCCCCATTGGCTGCTTGAATATGGACTTTTTTTTGACCAATTTAGGGAATTAAAATCGGAACGGTCGTAAGACATCATGTCAGTTGCCCCACAGTCAAAAATTCATTGAGTATTTTTAATTGGGTTTGCGTTGGGCCAAATTTCGGATTCTGACATGCATGTTGGGCTGGTTTGTCAGAATCATGGTTTGGAAGCCAACGCCGAAAACCGATGTCAAAAACCAAATTTCTCTAAAATGAAAAACAATTGTTGGAAACTCTTATATAATGTATTTTAGGTAGAAACCAAGCATAAAAACTTAAAAACTACTTCATTAAGGTAAAAACTATGGCTAGCTAAGTTTATGTCATTTCACATGGTTTTCATCAAAAGATCAAAAACAAAAGGTGGTTTTTAACATGTTTTTGGTGGAGGACTATTTGGATATTCCCAGAAGTAAAAACCAATCATAAAATTTTAAAAAGAACTTTATTGATTTGGACACCAAAAACCAATGTCGATAACTAGCGCCGAATGCCGTTAACCAACGCCGAAAAAACAACGGTTATGGTTTTTGAAAACTAATGATTTGGAAAACCTTTAAATGTGTCCAGAAGCAAAAAACAAAGATAAAACCCCAAAACCCATTTGGCTAAAACCAATGCCAATAACCAATGCCGAAAACTGAATGCCATAGCCGAACGTCGATAACCAATGGTTATGGTTTTGGTTGGGCAAAAATCAGGGGTTTTAGAAAATTAAAACCGTTTATGAAAACACTAATTTGATGCATGAAAAACATATCTTGTTTTGATCTATGACTTAAAGAAATTGAATGGGCTTGTTACAATAAAAACCTAAGTATTTAGACAACGTCTTCAAAACGCCAAACCAAAAACCAAGTCATCCGGCATTCGATTTTTAGAAATCGGCGTTTGGCATTCGGTTATCGGCGTTGGTTTTTGGCGTCCGAACCAACTAAGTTTTTTTCAACATTTTATGATTGGTTTTTACTTCTAGGCACATTTAAATAGTTCTCTAACAAAAACACTTAAGAAACCACCTTTTGTTTTTGGTCGTTTGGTAAAAACCATGTGAAACGGCATAAACTTGGCTAGCCGTAGTTTTTACTTAAATGATGTGGTTTTTAAGATGTCTCACTTGATTTCTTATCAAAATACATTAAGAAAATGTTTTCAACACTTGGTTTTTATTTTGGAGAACTTTGATTTTTGACATCGGCTTACGGCATAACTGACCAGCCATGGGTGTGGCTAAACCAGCCCAACAGCGATTTTGGAGTAACCAACATCGCTGTCTGGCGTTGGTCCTCTAACAACGATGTTGGACATTATACATCGCTGTTGAGCCTAGCCTGAAATTCCTGAAAGTTTTTGAACAACGATGTAGACATCTCTACATCGATGTGTTCAAGCCAAGCTAGAAGAAAACATTTTGGCAGAAACTTTTTGAACATCGCTGTTGACCTAGCAACAACAATGTCAGGCCATATTTCTTCCTTGAAGGTCAAGCCTAAACAGCGATGTTCAACTAATGAACATTGATGTAGGCATCTGACAGTTGGAAGAAATTTATGGCTAAAACTTTCTAAGTTTGGAAGTCAACAGCGAGAACAATGATGTTGTCTTTTTGGACATCGCTGTTGGCTTGACCGTTGCTTCCCAAATTTCAAAAAATAAGCCTACAACAGCAATGTCCAAGTAATGGAGATCACTGTCACGCTGATTTTCAGCAGATCCATTTTTAATCAAATCCCACAAATTGTGCTAATCACCCCCATATCAACTCCTACCCGTTGGAGCCTATTTTTATACTATAAAATGGAGTGTTTAGGTCTGCTTTTCATATCACAATACTTCACAACTCTTATTATTCATTGCATTACATTCATATATTTTCCATAGCTTTTCGAGAGCCATTTTTGTGAAGTTCGTGTTGTGTTCTTGAGTGTATTATTTTTCTCAATATCACTCTTTTGAGCGAGCATCATTCTGGAGTGTTCTTAGAGTTTTATACACATTAAGGGATCTTGTTTCCCTTGGTTGTACGAAGGAAATATATTTTTCTTCAGGTTGAAGTCTTGGAGTGCGTTATCTCCAAGAAAGTGTATTGAGACTCGTGGGATTTGAGTTCTCAAGTTGTAATGGTTTGTTAAGCACCCGTAAGCTTAACGGAAGTAGTGTAGCTCGAGAGAGTCTCTTGGGAGACTGGTCTAGCCACACGTTGTGGTGAACGAGTATAAATCTTGGTGTGCTCCCTTTACGCTTTCTACGCTCTTTACTTTTCACATTTTTATTTTTTTTATTCCAACAACGTTTTTCGTCTAAACGTTATTCACCCCCCCCCTCTAGCGTTGGGATATTATTCTAACAATAATAGCATTTGAAATTGGAATTCTGTTCACATGACTCACTAAGACATTTCATCGAATGAGTGGTGACTCTTCTATGCCTATGTGAATCTTCAAGCTGAAAATGGACGCCACCTTCTTGGGACCTTAAGGAACATTTATAAAAGGTGTACAACTATACAACAAAACTTAAAAGAATGAAAAAAAGCACCAAACACATTGTAAACTACCTGGGTCTATGCGCGAAGAAAATATGTAATTTTATTTGAGATGAAAATTTCTCTCCCAACTCTACAAACTGAGCCACGAAATTGTAGAGCATATCTTGATATCTAGAAAGATGATCAAAAGATTAAATCGATTCTGAAGGTGTGAAGGGAAGATGCTATGGAGGAGGTGCTGAGGAAGATGAGATGCAATGGAATAACAAAAGCAGCGATTGAGAAGCACATAGTTGAGTAGTGCTCTACGATTAGGAAAGAGAGAGAGAGATAGAGAGAGAGAACGTAACATGTGCGCGGTCTATTTAGGAAAGTTGCCGACTAAATATATTTTTTACTGTTCACGGAAACTTTGAGCGAGAAGTTTTTCTTGTTGCTATTGTAAATAGGGAAATTACATAAAATTAAATTCAATAGAGTTAAATATAATTAATTTTACATCTAAATTTAATGGTGTAGTTCAAATTTAAAAATAATAATACTAAATGTTGCGCTAGAGAGTATTTTCAAAACATTAACGCTAACTCCTAATGTTATTAATAAATATTGAATGAATTGATTTGAAACTAATCAAATTAACTCTCAAACCAATAAAATGTATTGTAATTGGATTAAATTAGAATAAAATCTAGTTTTTCAATACAATCCATCCTATATCCCTTTCCACTCAAAAAAATTATGACACTTCAATATTTAAAAGTTACAGAAATTTTATTTATTTGTGTATTTTCATTAATTATTTGATAAAATAAACTACGGAGTATTATTCTTGTAATATCTTATTTTGTAAAACTTTTGACGTATTTTTAAATATGTAAACTTTTTTATTTCTATTCCAATCTTTATATAAAATAAATTTAAAAAACTTAAATTTTTGCTTTGTTTTGCGTTATGTAACATTCTTTCCGAGATGGAGGAAGTATTTTTTTAAAATAAGATTATTAATGAGTTTTTGTAATTTAAATTAAAATTAGCACTTTATTTTTAACATAATATCTTATCAAATACTCCCTCTGTCCCAAAAAGAATGGGACGGTTTGACTTTTTGGGAAATTAAAGGAGGGATATTTTGGTATTGACTTTTCAAAAATACCCTTGATGTGATGGGTAAAAGTAGGATGTGATGGATAGATTATTAGAAAAAAGGTATGATGTGTTAGGTAGAGTATGAAAATGTAAGGGGTAAAAGTGGTTTTTTAATAGAAATGTAACGAACTTTACGGGACACAGTTTTTTCTAAACGTAACAAACTTTTTGGGACGGAGGGAGTATTTAATTTTACATGTCTAACCTTCCTCCCTAAAGTTCAAAGTTCCCCACATTCATTTTCACTTTTCCTCCTTAATCTTATCAGTTTTCTAATGCCACCATGAAATGAAAATGAACAAATTCATGTGACACAAAGGGAGATATATTTTTTGACTTTTGGTGGAGCTTGTACAAAACAATAGATGTATGTAATTTCGTAGAAGCCCTCTTTCCTACAAAACTAGAGACATAATAATTAATTAATCCAGAGTAAAGCTTACGGAGTATTATTCTAGTTATATACCACATTTCAAACTTCATTTAAGTTTTTAAATAAAGTTTTTAAAAATAGACTTATGTGGAATGTTAAGTTTTTTTCAAATTATTTTATTTAAATATATATATATAAAATAAATATATAAAAAATAAATTCCATGCATGAGATTTTATAATTTTTTTAAAGATGGTAATCAATTTTATGAGGGAATGAACAAGTAATGTAATTAGTTCGAATGGTAAGATAAAAGTAAAAATATTTAAAAATATAATATGTTTATTGAAAGGCAAACACACTTTCGTGTTTTATCTCAGTTCTAATTGGTTTCAGATATTATCGATTATGGATATAATTGGTTTTAGGTATTATCGATTTTAAATCTAATCGATTTGGAGTTTAGTTGGTTCGGATATAATTGGTTCCAGATCATTTCCGATTTTTTGTTATAGATTGGATCTTCATTTTTCGGATCATTTTGGTTTCAGTTTCAGATAATTCAATTCGGATAATCAATCTCGATTCTGTTTTGCCAGATCTAAATTTACCCATGTCCTTTTTAATTTTTATGAAATGAAAATGAACAAATTCATTTGACACAAAGGGAGATTTATTTTTGACTTTTGGTCGAGCTTGTACTAAACTATAGACGTATGTGATTACGCAGAAGCCCTCTTTGACATAATCAATTCATCCGGAGTAAAGCTTACCGAGTACGTAGTACGGAGTATTATTCTAGTTATATACCACGTACATTATATATACACTCCTTCCGCCATGGTAGTGAGACACAAACAAACATGTATGTAGAGTAATAGAGGGATCTTATATTACTGAATAATTTAGGTTTATAAAATGACAAGAGCTAAAAATCTTGTCAACCAAATTATTATACGGAGTAATTGCTTATTGTTATTGCTGCTTAAATCACTTATTACCCAGTGAGGCGGCGACCAGTAATGACTTCCACACCCTTCAACTCAGCTCTCTCCGCCTGAATCATCCTTCCACAGCTCATTGCAATGGTCCAGATTTTCGATTTTCGACCCGCGTCGGGAAATGCTACCCGCAGAATAACTCGATTTTCGACCCGCCTTCGTGGAGGAGATGAAATATTACCGAAATGCCCCACGCGATTCCTTACTGGACACCTGCTTCGACTTCAGCAACACAACCGAGGATAAGATTAAGCTCCCGAGGATAGGCTTTGGGTTCAGCGGGAACGTGAGTGTGGATGTACCGCCCAGCAGGATCTTGTATGTGATCGAAAGAAACTTGTCAAAGGTGTGCCTGCAGGCCTTCGCCGGTAACGAGGACCCCGCTGGAATGGGCATTTACGGAAACACGCAGCAGCAGACTCTTGATGTTGTGTACGACGTTGCAGGCGGGAGGCTGGGCTTCAGTCCTGGTGGCTGTTCTTAATGATGCATTATTGGTTCTATATATGATTCACTATATATAAATTGATCGAAACAAGAGGATGTTGTTGCATGTTTTTTGTTGTTCTCTTTTATTTTGGTGTGCTGTCCTATACTCCTATTAAAATAACACTACTACAAAAATGAGTAAATAGACTGCCTCAATTGCATCGGTTGTTTTAACAACCGATGCAAAAGATCAAAAGTGAAGAATGAATATTTTCACTTGAATTATTATGGGAGATTACATGTGTATATATATAGGAGTTTCCTAATGATAATAGGAAACAATATTAATTACACCCTATACAATTATGGAAGCTACCAATATACATAAGTATTAAATATAGTAAGAATATATTTAACATGCTCCCAACGGCACTAAAGAAGATCGCCGCACGCCCAGGCAATCTCGAAACTCGGAAAAGACCATGGAGGGTAGTCCCTTGGTGAAGATGTCAGCATACTGTAATGAAGAGGGCACATGGAGGACTCGTATCTGGCCAAGAGCTACTCTGTCTGGCACGAAATGAATATCTACCTCGATATGCTTTGTGCGCTGATGTTTGACTGGATTGGCTAAAAGGTAGACAGCACTGATGTTATCACTGGAAGACCAGTGTGGAGCGCATCAGAGGTTGCCGAAGCTCAAGAAGAAGATTGCGCACCCAACAGACTTCAGCGACGGCATTAGCGACAGCTCGATATTCTGCTTCAGCACTGGATCGAGAGGTGGTGAGTTGTCGCTTAGACGACCAGGAGATGAGATTGTCGCCTAGAAAAATGCAGTAACCGGATGTCAATTGACGAGTATCTGGGCAGCCAGCCCAATCAGCATCAGAGTATGCCCGCATATGATCTATCTGAGATGGTGAGATGGTGATTCCATGGGTGGGTGTACCGTGAAGATAGCGCAGGACGCGCTTTATAGCTGTGACATGCGGCACTCGAGGATCATGAAGAAAGAGACATAGCTTCTGTACGGCATAGGTAATGTCCGGGCGTGTGAAGTTGAGGTACTGCAGAGCTCCCACAATAGAGCGATAGAGAGAGGGATCTGGCGCTGGAGGACCAACAGTGGCCGAGAGCTTTCCGCGGGTGTCCATGGGTGTAGAAACAGGTTTGCACGTGGTCATGCCTGCCCGCTCCAGGATGTCATAGATAAACTGAGTCAGGGTGAGGAACAGGCCGTGAGAGGTCCGCTGAACATTGATCCCAAGAAAGAAGTGGAGGTCTCCCATATCTGTCATGGCAAACTCCCCTTTTAGTCGTTCTGTGAGCTGGTGTAGTAAGGCAGGAGATGATGCAGTGAGGACAATGTCATCAACATAGAGCAGAAGTAGGGCCATGTCCTATCCGCGACTGTATACAAACAAGGAGGCATCACTCTTGCACCCACTGAAGCCAAGAGAGAGAACAAATCACGTGAATCGCTGGTACCAAGAACGGGGGGCTTGCTTGAGTCCGTAGAGTGCCTTATTTAGTTTGCAGACATAGTGTGGGCGAGTAGGGTCCCGAAATCCCGAAGGCTGAGCGGTGTAAACAGTATCTGAGAGGTAGCCCTGCAAGAAAGCATTTTTGACGTCGAACTGGTGGATCGGCCATCCTCTGGACACGGTTAGGCTCAGAACGATGCGTATAGTGGCCGGTTTGATAACCGGGCTGAAAGTCTCGTCGTAGTCGATGCCATGGCGTTGGTTGAACCCACGAACAACCCATCGGGCTTTGTACCTGGATAGTTCACCTGTTGGGCCAAGTTTGTGGCGGAAGAGCCATTTTCCGGAGATCACATGTTGGTTAGGGGAGGGGGGTACTAGATCCCATGTATGATTAGCTATCAAGGCATTATATTCATCTAGCATAGCATTGTACCAGTTAGGATCTTTGAGAGCACTACGGTAGGTAGGGGGTAAGGGGGAGATGGGTACAACGGTGTTGAGGTTTAGGATTTGTTTAGGGCAAAAAATGCCGGCCTTGGATCGGGTAACCATCGGGTGGGAGGGGGCTG